GCCCTCAGACGTGGCACTTGGGCGAGCGGCCGCGAAGCGGAGGCGCGTGCGCGCGCGCTGCGGGCGGGCGGGGGGCAGCGCGCGGCGCCCAGGTAACGGCTCCTAACGGTCCTAACGGCGCGAGGCGCTGCCGCTCGCGGGCGCTTTGGGGGCGGCGGGGCAGCCCGCAGCGGAGCYCTGTCCCGCTGCGGCGTTACGCTACTGCCTGGAGGGTGTCAGTCAGCGGGGGAAGGAGCGATGGCCGTTTGCAATCCTGGCCGTGAGTTGGAGGGGGCTCGCGGCTTGCGCTTCCGTAGCTTTGTCTGAATGCGTGTATTAGCAATATAGCGTGCAAGTCTGATGTGCGCGGCTGTATTCCCGCCTCTGTGTGTGTGTGGGGTCTGTGTATAAATATGCACGTGGACCCAGCAAATGTCTTATTTGACAAACGGATTGCAGCATGAGCTGGGGAGAGACTGTGCCTCTGTTTCTAGACTATGCATTAGCTAAGTTTTCTTCAGGTGGCTGAGAACCTGTGTTTTTAACTCTTATCCTACTTTTTCCATGCACATGATGGAGCTTTACATCTTTACAGGGATACCAGTGCAGTAAAGCATTGCACAGGTACAGTAAGAAGATGGGAAAAAAAATCATAAACAGCTTTGTTTCATCAGTAATATAAATTGTGCTGTTAAATTTCAATGTAAAGGATGTATGGGAAACTAGTGTTAAGGAAGGCTAGGAGAAAAGATTCTTGTTTCTGTTTAGCAGCACAGGTAGTAAGCACACTCAGTAAAAGATCTTGGCTTAGCAGATCTCATCTTTCCAATGCGATTTCCACTGTGATTCTGTATGTCTCTTGTTAAATCAAACAGTTGCAGGTTATCRGTTTCTCATGCCAGTTTGGGTGCTGTCCAAACCAGTTTCACTGCATGTTTGTATTTGCGCCTATCTTGAAAAAACATTAAATGTGCTCCATGGTAAACAGAAGCTGGAATCGAGTTCAATGCATTTCTGATATTTGGCTTAGGGTTAGGAGTTCCTGTTCCTCCTCAACCCAGCCCTGTGTGTTTATGCTGTCTGTGGGAAGTTTGACGTGGCAAGATTCTTTTTTTTTCTCTCTGAGCGAGCGGTGGAGGAAGTAGTTTCCCCTGGATGCTGTCACAGCTGAAGGTGCCGATTGTTGCAGCTGCCTCAGAGTGAATGTCCCTTTCTTTATATAGATATAAAGTATGTATAAGAATATGATAGCAAGGAGGTAATTTAGTTTTGATTTTCTATCCTGTGGAGCAACTAAAGCTTATGGTGCCACATCTCTGCTGGTGGGGAGGGAGGAGTATGGTTGGCAACTAGAAGCTGTTCTGGGTGGACGTTTTTTCTTCTTGTTCTTACCTCATTAGCTAAAAAATAGAAGCCAACTCTCCAGTCTACTATATCTGAAAGGCTTAAATACTTACAATTTTCTTAGGGAATTGAGAAATTTAATATGGCTTAGTATGATGGGCAATGCGTGTGGAGGTTTTGCATCTTAGAGGGACTTCCTGTCTCACGTGCCAGATCAGTAATTTTTTTTTTTTTCAGAAATATATGTCTAGTATGAAAAKCCTAGAGATAAGCTTTCTAATAGGGATAGCTTTTTCTTCTACTGGCTTGTGCTCATGAAGCGTGAATTTTTTTGTGATGCAGCGTGATCTTGGAGCTGCATCTTCTTAGGTCTCAGGCATGTTCCTGGAGCACAGTTTCTGAGAGCCCCATCTAGTTTGCATGGCCAGAAATCACTCCATGATGCCACCCCAAGCAGGTCAAGTAAAGAGGGCTGGAAGAGCTAGTTCACAAGAACACTTCTCTTGTCAAATAAAATGCTAGTTTACATAGATGTAGCTACTTCGAAGCCTGCCAAGTATGTAACTATGTAACTTCAATGTGCTGTAGTGTTCTTCATATTTTTCATCTTGATTTTACATCATGGTGATTATGGGAATAGATAAAGTTTCTTTTATCCTWCTTAGTAAAATTTGACTTCAGCAAAGAAATGAAATGTCTTGCGAATGCTCTCATCCTCACAGGTGTATATATATGGAATCTCTTGGACTTGTTTTCATCACATTGCAGGTTCCTTTAAGTAGAAGGACTGAGCCTTGAAAAGGGCCAGCAGCCCTCATGTAAGRGGATAGGTTTGTGACAGTAGGAGCTGTGCACTTAGTGTCATTTCTTACCAGCACGTCTGAAAGCAGGGACTACTCCCTCGCTCTCCGGGGATGTGGCTGTTTTGGAGGATGTGATGCTGCCATGTTCCACACCTCCTCTGAAAGAGGCAGGCYAAGGCAGAAGAGTTGCTGGGGGAGCCTTGCATTCTGGCAGCTGTGCCTTTCCTGATTTCTCAGGAATATTTGATACTTTTTTCTACTACCTAGTATTTGGGAAGTGGGACTTGCAGATTTTTTTTTTTCAGATGTAGAAGTCTAGATTGTCCCAATAAAGAGAGCAGTTTGAGAATTTCCTTCTGARCTTTCTTTTATATATGCTTTCTTCACTTTTGTTTGTTTTCCCCTTGGGTCTGGGAGAGGCAAATACTGTTCAGATAAATTCAGGGTTTTTTTGTTTGTTTGTTTTGTTTTTTATTTATGCAGTAAAACTGTGGTAGTGTTGACAAAATTAAATAAGCAGGTGATCAAACAAGCAAAATGATTTACTTCTGACTTACAGGTGCATTTTTGACCCTGAGGTCTGCTGCCGTTGTCRCAGAGGTATGCGGTTCTCAGTCTTTTAAAAAGACCAAAGAACAGTGGCAGGTATTTTTTTTTTTTTCCCCCCTCAGATTCTTGAAGAGGATCCTGTACTTGGAATGAGTCAATTGCCATCATGAGTCAACAAGGTTATGTTGCAACTCCTCCATATTCCCAATCTCAGCCAGCAATAGGAGGCTTTTCTACAGGTTTTGGGCCACCTACTTCTTCACCTCTTTATGGGCATTATGGGGACCCTAATTCCTCATACTCAGCACCTCAAGCAGGTATGAAACTTAGTTTGCTTTTTTTTGTGTCACTGTGAAATTTGAGAAAAAAATAATATTGCCTAGTTTCTCTAAAACATCTTACAAAAAATAACAGGAGTTGTATTTCATTTACAACCTAACGTAGTCAGGACATGAAAGTACTTTGGTTAATAGAATACTTGGGAAAAATACCAGTTTTCTCAGCAAACAAGTTTTTGATGTTACAGCAATTTAAAAGAAGATAATTCAAGAAATACAAGTTGAAAAGCTGTTCATTCAATTCTTTTATATACATTTTTAACCCTTTTACAGTCAGAGTTCTAGAATATTTTGCATTAAAAACCATTCTTAGCATAAATTTACTGTTTCTGTGTGTGGAGGCAATTTTATAAAGTCTTTTTAGGTTTTATTTCTGACAGTGTCTTCAGAAAGCAAAGGGACCTATTGCTTTTCCTTAGAACAGTGAGTAATAGGGAATTTCCAGTATTACAAATTGAATTAGAGGGTCTGTTTCCTTATTCTTGCTTTTTCCTTACTGCCCCACTTGCATTCTTTCACTAGAAAATCACTAACTACTATTTCCTCCCTTTTTAGCTATGTTTTCTTTTTCATATTTGCTTCTATACCTGACCATAAATGTATCCTTTCTTATTCGTATGCCTTTGTATTTCTTGATGATCTTGAACTTTCTTACAGGTAGTATTTTTTGTTTGGCAGGTGTGTCAAAATCAACTGTGCCTTTTGGATCTCCAGCCCCTGTTGGACCACCACAACCAGCTGCACATCAGTTCAGCCAGACCAGTCTCCAAAACAGGCCCAGCGCGCCCGGGCAACCGCCACAGAGGTGACTTCACATATTTATACATGAGATATAAGTTGTTTGCTTTTCCTTCTCTTCAGATGTTTTGTTGGCATCCAAATATTGCATCCCTTCTAGCTTCAACAGTTCTGACCTATTCCGATTYTAGACTGGATCATCAAGTGCAGCCCTGTTATGTTAAGCTGACAAATCATACAGTGCAGTCTAAGTTCCATTTTACAGCAAGTTAGGTCTTTATCATGGGTTAGTTTTTATTCTTTCTGCTTGAATTTAGACAGTGTTATAACTGCTGTTTGTTGTAGGAGTTGTGCTACTTTTATTCGTTTCCTGATGCCTTAATTCTCCTTGGTTGGAGGTACCAAGGTGATGATGTTTAATGATTAACAGTTGCCAGTGAATTTTGAATAGAAGCTGGTACAAGTACATATCTGTAGTTTTYTCCCTGTACTAGGATGTCTATTGTTCAGTGTTATGGCATCACAGCCAAAACTTCGTTGTTTCTTTATTTCAATTTTAACGATTTTTTATAATGCAGTTTTGTGATAATCTTTGAGATTAGTGTCTGCCACCCTTTTGTTCAAGTCTCGGAAGACTATAAAGAGTTTACCTGAAGTGGTATTGTCCTGGCTCCAGAGCTCACAGGAAGAAATGAAAGGGAAGGAGTGGGAGGAAGTTTTAATTTACTTCGCTTTTTAGTTGTCAGATAGTTCAAATAAAGCCTTACGTATATTTTATTAGGCATCTGAATAGGGAAGCCTGTTGTCTGTGTGTTATCACTGTGTGTACAAGACTCTCAGAGACTAGTAGTTCTTTTTAGAAGACAAGGTGTCAAAGTGTAGGGAAAAGTGGCTGCTGTCCTGGAAAATTRAAAATGATGAATGGAAAAAGAYAGTAAAGAGATTTGAGCTGATGTGGCCAGCTCAGCAAAATGCTGCTTCTCTTTACAAAAGAGAAGGGGGGGGGGRGGGGGGGGGAAGGGCAAAATGTTGCTTCCAATCATAACTCTGACAGTTGCCTCTTTACAGCTTCTATGTGATCTTGTTTTCTTCACAGATTACTGAGAGCCAGGAGGAAGTTTCCAAAACAAAAATTTCAGGGAAAGTGAATTGAACTCCCCTTAGTATACATAGGACCTTCCTCTGTTTTAGAAATGGTTGTAGGGAAAGCAATGTAACTCTTCTGTGGAAGTTGTCCTGCAGTCTCATTTTTCCAAAGTGTAGGTAGCACCTTGTCGAAAATATCTCCACATGTTGTGTGTGTGTCTTACCTCTTCCTTTCATCCATTTCTCTTTCTCACCTTTATGTTTTCTTATTTCCACACAGTAGTTTCTTCCCTCCTGAGTCTTCCTTCTGCCATTACTGTTGGGAAATCCCTAGCAGTCTCTGTCTTCACTTGCCTCATYACACAGAAATTGTCTTAATGTCCCTTCCAGTGTCCTCACCCATTCCCAATAGGGAAGCTTCCCGCATAAGCATGGAAAGAGATTGATGTGATATGTTCAGAACTTAGATTTTTTCAGTCACCAGGCTTTCATCTAGTTAATACCTCTCTTACCTTGCCAAGACATACTTGCACTTCTTTGTTTCTAATAAGTGTGTGCCAAAAATCATATAGCATCATCTTTTAATTAGTGTCTACTCTCTCTTCAGGAATATTTTAACAAAAATGCACTTTTTTTTAATGGTCAGAAGATAAATATCTCACTCTGGAGAAGGTTTTGGGCCTTCTAGAATTTTTACTGGTTGCTGTCCTTCTCTTCATAACTGCATTAATTTCTCCCTTCAGGTTTCAAGGCCCTCCACCTCCAAACTGTACAGGATCTTCTTATCCTCCCTACAGTCATCAGTCACAACCAGCCTATCCAAACACTGCATCTGCTTCGTCCACAACCCAGCTTGCGAACCAGCTCAACACCATGCAGATAAATAGCTATGGTAATTAGTTTTATCTAATAGTATTTACTTTTTCGTCTAAGCTATTGATGATAATTAACACAGATAAATACTGAATTAGATAATTTAGTAATAATTATTGAACTTAGAAGCAGAATATGAAATCTTTGACCACTATCATTTGCTTAAGTTCTTAGATCTTTAATCTCATCCTGTTACTTAAGTGAATGCCCTTGAGTTAGTTCTGAATTGAAGTTGTTGAATCTTCCAGAAAGTTGTTGAATCTTCCAGAAGGATCAGTAAGATCAGTTATCTTATCAGTCATTTCTCAGATTTCTTTGTTGATCCTGTCAATAACAGGCAAGCCAAGAACAATAATATGTAGATAGTGCATATTTCCCCCAGTTTTTCAGAGTTTCTCTGTTTTGAAACAATTTTTGTTTTCCTTGTCCAAAACTTAGAGTTTAGTTTTTGATTTAAATTTTACTTATAATCTGGGATTTAAATATTTCAAAAACTAAACAGTGAGGTAGTGCAATTTTTCCACGTGAATTAAACTTGTTGTCACTGGTTTTATTTTTTTGTATTATATCTGTTTTTTCTGAATATTTACTGAGGCCTGATCAAATTTACTATTCAACTCAAAAGGAGTAGAATTTAGTTAGCATCTTGTTTTGCTGTGACCAACACATTTAACATACTAGTACTTGTGTTCCAAATTTAGTTTTGTTTAAGGTCTTTTCTGAAAATTATTTTMCTGTAGATCTATTGGATTTTGACTAAAAATATATTGTAAATCAACCAGCATTTACAGATTGTAAGACTCAAATATTTCCAGAGTCCTATTATTTCAATTGGAACTAGATTCTTATAAAGAACTAGCTATTCCTCATCAGTTTACACAAAATAATCCCCACAAGTTTCCTCTTTTAACACCAAAACCAGAAAGTGGTTGTAAATCAGATTAAATTAATGGTTTTAGCTTTGATTAAACCTATCATAGTTAAATGCAAATAAACAAGAATTTGCTGCAAAGAAGTAATTATTAACTCAAAAGGAATATTGTCTTACATTATGAGATAAAATATTATTCCAAAAGCAAGTAGTTCTTTGCCTGTGTTTTAATCAAGTATTGTCAAAGACTGAACTCCCTCTCCCCCTACCCTTTCAGTTTCTTTTTTTTTTTTTTTTGTTGGAAATAGGGCCACGAGGAATAGATGGGCTTTAGAATCAGCTCAGGCTTAGTCTGAATTGTTACACAAAAGGGCATTCAGAATTCCTGTAATAAAGCATCCTCTATACAAGATGCAATATTTCCATACAAGTTGCAAATGTATGTAATTAAAATAGATTGCCTGACACACAACGTGTTGTTGGTTTTGACTTATCTGATATATGGCTTCCCACTCAGGTCCTGGTGCCGCTCAGAGCTCTCACATGTCTTCTGGGCGTCCAACACCTTCTCAAGGTCAACAGCTGCTGCCACCACCACCATCTACCCAGCAGCAAATGGCTTTGCCACCTGGATCACAGATTCCTCCACCAGCAAATAATGTAAATGGCATTTGTGCTCAACCGTCGTTGCCTCCAATGGCCAGACAAGATGGGATCCCTGGATCTGGCCCCCCAAATGCTAACTTGCAGCAACTTTCAGGACAGCCCCCGGGGCCTGGGTATCATCCTCAGCAAAGTAAGGAAGGATGTTTGGTTTTTAACTGAAAACAAAATGTACTTTAGGAATCAGTGGTGGAACAGCAACCAGTCATGGATGATGTTCTGCTGACTTGGAAAATTTTTAAAAAATWCTCTTTTTAGTGCAATGGGAAGACCCCTATTGTCAATTATTCCATTGAAGGTAGGCTAAAACCCCTTTTCCTCAGAGGTTTAGCATTCTGGAAAAGAATGTAGCAAGTAGATTAATTAGCGTCAGAAGCAGAATTATTTGGTTGGTAATGGGTGATGCTTCAACATACTACAGAGTCTTTCATTACACAAAAAGATGCAGGGAACTCTCTGCTTTATGGTACTGTGTGTGCCATCAGGAACTTTCAAAAATGCTTTTTATAGCAATAAATAACTGTAATTGAAATTGAATGCAAATAATGTGCTTGCTGCAGGTAAGTAAAACAGATGACTGTCTTTTTAGTTGGCAAACTAACTAGACCAGCTTGCACTGACTAATAATGGAGAGGTAAGGTAATGCCTGAATTGAATAGCTATGAGAATCACTACAAATTCTGCTTATGTACATACCTGAAAACTTTTGGATTCGAAGTTGTCACAGACTGCTTTACGTTTATTTCTAAAACAGCAGACTTCGTGAGCTAAAGTAATTGGTTTCTTTTACCTACTGAGAACAGAAGACAAAGAGAAGAGCATTTGGTATCAGTGAGAATGACTTGTGTGGCAAAAAATGATGTTAAAAAATTCATACCAAAACTTAATATAAAAAAATTTAAATCAGTGATCATTTGTAACTCTGCAGCAAATTATGGCCCTCAGATGGCAGGAGCTCAGCTGTCTTATCCTGGTGCCTTCCCTGGGAGTCCAGCACAGCTCACAGGTCCCCAGCAGAAGAAGCTTGATCCTGACTCTATTCCAAGCCCTGTAAGTAATGCAGTGCTATTTTTCTTGCTTCTGAAAGAGAGTATCTGTTTTATCCAGTGTTCATTCTAGTGTAAGACTTAGAAAATCTTGTAACAATGCATTTTAATCATCACTTAATAGTTAACAAAGCAATTGCAATTCCCTCTGCTAGAGAAAATATTCAAGTTTAATGTAATTGAAAACTATAGTTTAAAAATTGAAGTGAGTATCTATATAATTAGCAGGTGTAGATAGCGCCCTCATCCCTGTGTTTCAGATTGATGCTTTTACATAAGGATGAAATGCTTAGCCTGATTTTAAAAAATGAAGGAGGAGGTCTGGCATAAAAGCAGGGACTGATGTCTTGTTTCAATTACGCATGTAGAATAAACAGGCTTGACTATGACAGGGATCTTAAAATAGCTTAAAAGGTTTGTTTTAGCAGCAGAGAGAAGTTCAAAATGACATGTTTAAAAGAAACATGATCTGGGTCAATGTCTGCAAAGGGCAAAAAGCTAATTCGGAATGAGGAGTAAGGATCACCATGTACATATCTTGTTATATTTACATTATATAATTACAGTAGTGTTGCCAGATAAATGTGCTTCTTATCTATAGCCATTGTTGATTTATATTTTCTTACATATGTTAGAGGTTGATGTGTGCTGTGACACCATCTATGAAAACTAGCATCTGGACTTTGTCAACAATTATTTCCAAGAGCAATGAYATATCTAGGTCAGTTAACTGTAGAATACCATGGTAGGTGATGTTTTGCAGATCTAAGTCTCAAAGTGGTTTGCTTGTTCAACCAATGGACCTTTTACTTTCTAATGCAAGTGTKAGCAATAAGTATACAAGCTGAGGAGCCAGAAAAAAAACAATAATAATGTTGAAGTAAAGGAAAGTATTCTACTTAAATTACAATACAGAAACTTTACAGGGAACAAAAAAAAATTATGGACCTCATTATCTCCAATGTGTTAGGAAATACCTTTTGGACAATGATCAATGGAATCCATGCAACTGATTTTGTTTATCCCCTCTGCTTCTCAACAGAGGCTTCTGAAGTTCTCCAGCTACAATTACAAAATCACATGCAGTGTAAAGATACAATGACATGGGATGCCCGCTTCAGTGGCAAAGCCAACTTCAGAAATTCCCCTTCTCTGTCCTCTTACTTGCTTCTCAGAGCAGCACAACTGTTAGGCTGTGCTGTAAAATGGATTACTAAAATGGTAGCACATTTGAGGGAGGAATAGGAGTAATAGTACTATTTCAGTGACCTCAGTTACAGCCTATATGGCTTTTTCCCCCACAACTAGAGGGGAGAAATGAGAGTTAAACTCTSCTGCTGATGCTACAGCAGGATAAAATACTTGCGCTTGCATTTCTGAAGAATAGGATCTAGCACAACTATAGSCACACAAAAGATAACATGAATCTGTGGCATCCAAATAAGGTGATGCAACCTGTTTTCACCTCAGGTTGATCTAGGAGAATGGAAGGCTAAATCCATTTTCTCTGTTCTACTACAGTTTTTGGGAGTTGTGTCCCCTTAGCAGACAGTATACTTGCTCTAAACAACATATTTCCTGTCTGTGTGCAGGTCTCGCCTACCCATAGGTATAGTGTGACCCCTGCAGTTTCTGTACAAACAGCTCAATTTGTAAATGAGTTACACTGGTCAAGTATTTTGTAGAGTTTTTAAGCTGTTAACTGTTCTAGAAACACATCTATGTGGTTTGTAACACCTGTGTATAGGACTATTATTGTTGTAAATTATAGCATAATTGTTTATGAAAGTAACTCAATGCATGGCTTGTCTTTCTCATACTGTCCTCCTTATTCATCAGATTCAAGTAATTGAAAATGATAAGACTTCTAGGGGAGGACAGATCTATGCTACAAACACAAGAGGACAAGTTCCTCCTCTTGTCACCACAGACTGCATAATCCAAGATCAAGGTAACTGTCCATCTTACTGTTGTGAGAATCTTATTAGGCAAAATCAAAGGCTAAAAGAATACACTACATTTTCAAATTTCTTATCTTAAAATAATGTTTCTTACTCTAAATTGGGCATGAAATGGAAACTTTTCTCTTAAAAAGAAAAGTTTGAGGACAAATGGGAGATGAGAATTTTTGCACCTTGTGTTAACTTCAGTGAAAGCCCTGAGACCACTAGTATCTCCTCAACCATTGCTGATATTTAAAATAATAGGAATAGATGAGACAACCTTTCTTTTCACATCAAGTTGAAAAYGCTCTTCAGAGTCTTCTGAACTTTTAAGTCTCTAAGATGAGTGTTAGAAGAAACATACAGTCCCATGCTAAAATTACTAATGAGGCTAACATCATTATCTTTAAGATATGAATTTTGAAAACTTCTATTCAAGCTGTAGGAACAGAGTGCAAGTTATCTTAGCTTAATATTTTCCTTTGACTAGTGTATCTGCATGTAGCTCTTGCCAGTCTTCAATTTCCTCTGCTTAGACCCTGTCAATACCGTATTCCATGTGTAGTTCTTGATACTTTCATTTAGATTAAACTGATGGTCTCATTCAGCATAGCATTAATTTATCAGTGCTTGGGAGAATTGAACAAAATATACAAACACATCAAGCTTTTTTGGCATTATCTGAGAATAGAATAAAGGAGTTCTAAAGTACAAGGAAGTTCTTTGAAGTTCCTTTCAAGAAACTAAGCAGAGCTGCTGCCTGATAGTTAAAAAGGAGTATGACAAAGTTAGCTTTTGAACTCCCATTATTTTTCAGTGCTCTTGTCTGCAAYGCACAAAACTTTTTCGTAGAGTAAATAGTGCAGTGACTTTAGGACTCTCTGTTTTTCAGGTTAAATAATCATGTCGATGTATGTACAAGTAGAGTGTTTTCTAAATTAAAACGGTTCATTAGAGCAACCTTGACATTAGGGATCGATCTGCAACACTTACACGATGTCGACATTTCCATTGGGGAAAATCCGTATTACTTTTAAGTTGTCAGATATGATTGTTTTCAAACCAGACACTTCTGTTTAGATTCTTACTACATATACTTTTTAAAATTTATTTATTTACATCTTTAAATTTCTGCATTAAACTCAAAGAAGAAAAGTTTTTCCTGCAGAGTGGGACAGGAACCTGACATGTAAAAGGAGACTTGCACAGAAGTTTGTATAAGGGAGAGAAAAAAAAAAAGAATGTGTTTAAGTTAGCATATGCACTTGTTTTTATGCTGTTTTAATTTATTTTTCTGGTATATCTTTGAACAGCCACATTTCTTTGGTCACCATATTGTCGTTGTGTTTTGTTACGTGTTCTAGGGCACGCGAGCCCTCGTTACATCCGATGTACAACCTACTGCTTCCCAGGTTCGTCAGATATGGCCAAACAGGCTCACATCCCCCTGGCAGCTGTCATCAAGCCATTTGCCATAGTGCCACCAAATGAGGTAAAGGCTAAATTACTGTTCTCCTGGGAGCTCTTGTGTGAGTAGGCGAGTGAAGGGCTTTACCCTGATTTTGCCATCACTAATGGCAAACTAACGCTGCATGTTCCAAATATTGCTGTACTTGCAGGGTGCTTCTGAAATTTTGCAGTATCCCGTTGTCTCATGTCAGGTACCCAAATTTCCTGACATCACCAAAGGATCTTCTCACAAGCAAGTACTGAACTAGTTCTCGTGTGCAGCATTAAACTGCACCAGCCAGATGACCACCCATTATTGCGCGTGACCATCCACTTCCTCCTTTACATGGCTTCTGAATTCCACTACGCACATCTGTTGGCAGCATTTCCTTTTGAAGTGCCACGCTAATTTACCTGGAGCATGGTGTACTGGAAAAATCAGGGTCTCATGGAAATAATAGTAGATGACCTTCATCTACTCCTTCATAAAACATACTAACAGAAAAAAAAAACTTGCAAAGACTTTCAATACTTAGGGTTGCACACTTTGATTTTCTTTGTTTTATTACTAATAAATTCTTACGTTTTTGGAAAAGTATGTTAGAAAAAAACAGGTACTGTTCTTTATCGGRATGAATAACTTCCAACAGACCTCTCTAGTTTCAATTAAGAGTATTATTTTAACAGGCTAGTGTGTAGTTGTATTTGAGATCCACAAGGAGATGGGGTATATGGCTGTTTTTTCTGTAGATCCTGAGTCTCACCATTTGTTTGTAGAAATTTTAGATTTCAATCCAGTTGTGGCGAGGAATGTGCAGATTTTGCTATTGTCCCCCTTACCGTTCCATTCCCTTGTTTCCTCCCAGATGAAACTCTTGCTGTTGCTTCCCCATCCCTTTACTTTACAAGCCAGGCTTTACTCCCTTGCCGTCTTTATCTCAGCTTTGAGATGTATTGGGTCTGCTTTTCTGCTGGCCCCCCATTCGCATCAGTCTTTCRCTTTTGGTATGCACCAGGCATTTATGCCCCCCACACATGCATTCCCTCTCTCCCACACGGTGTTTGGATAGGATGATCGATGAGTTGCTAAAATCTAAATCTCTTTTGTATATGTAAATTAGCAGCATGTACAAACACTTGGACTTGGCCAAGTGCAGGGTTTCCCTGCGGCTGGCAAAAATATCTGCTCAGAGACCCACCAGTTCCAAAGTGCTGGTGCTCTCATCTGTTCAAAAGAAATGTCAGCCTAATTCATTAACCTGTACAGACCAGAGTATTCTTCCCTAGCCTCTTTCTCAGAACAGGCTAAAAATCTCTGCCTGAAAAATGTCTCTCAAAATTGGCCAAAGTCCAGTGTGGAAAATTTCACTCTGAATGACTASAGCTTGGTAAAATCAGGGATTGAAGAGAGGCTGTTAATGTAGGAAGTGCCAGGCAGTCTTAGCTGATGCAGTTTTTCCAAGTCTTGCTCCYGCCCTTTGTCTTCACTGCCGTTGCCAAAAGAAGCTACAGTCTTCCTTATGGAATATATAACCATTTTAATTTTGTATAGATACTTAATTTCAAAAAACTGGCCTTTTTAGAGAAGTGGAATATATTCAGGAGATTATTTGTGTTTCTGGATTTCCTGCTATGGTACTTTCTGCCTGGAATTAACAACTACAAGGCACAAAATGTTCTTCCTTGTGGATGCCTCCAAGTGCCTTTTAATGATACCAGCAGATAATTCTTATCACATGTTACAGAGTTCAGTGCAGAATAGGAATCTGTCTAATCTCTTTATCTCTTGATAAGTAGTAGATTGTACATAGTAACTGTTTAAACTTGTGGTAGTTTCTAGCCTTGTATTGAATATTTTGCTTTCATTCATCTTTGTTGTAGTTCAGCTGCAGATAGGGCCCCATTTCTGCAATTTCTAGTGTACTCGGTGCTCACACACAGAATTTSAGTTCCTTTTGTTTTTAGAGAGGGAAGAAGAAAGGCAAGTGTTACAGGGATTAGTGGACCATGGCTGTGAAGTGCTCATGGATGATTTGTGCAGCTGCTTATGTGGTTAGGAACAGCTYAGAAACCCACATATCTCGCTAGAATTATAGATTCGCTTAATCAAACCAATGATGCAGTAGGCATTTGGCCTTTTTTCAATATTGCATATATATTTTTATTATCATGAGGATATTTTCACATGAATGGACCTGCATTGCATTGCCCATATAGGTATTTTTTAACTAACTGGGGTTGTGCTCTGACCGTTACAGCTGAGAATGAATTTAAAGTAGTATATGAAATATATTTGCATTTACAGTGGTCTCCATTACCCTAGAATTCTTGAAGTATTTTGTCTCTATCGTTACTATATTAGGGCAGCTAGAAGTAAAGAAACTCTTGCCTTGTAAGGTAAGGGGTTGGGGTTGGTCAGCAGCTTCTAAGTAACTTGAGGATACAGTGCCAGTCTTCAGGTGGCTTGTTCTTTGTTTCTGGACATGACTGTCTTGAACATGGATTTTAATTTCACTGAGGGGAAAGTTGATTACATTAATGAAGTGTCATGTTCTGCTCAGGTGGCCTGAGCAGAAGTAATTTAATGAAGTAATGAAACAACTAAGTCTACTGACRTTGGTAAATTAGATGTGTATATAAGAGGGAGAGTGTAAGTGCACACCCCTTACTTTCTTCCTTACTTGATAACATTTTGGTGGATTATTTGTAAGCAGTGGTGTTCATGGTAGCAGGGGTGGGAGGCTGTGGAATCATAGTGTCTCCTAAGCTCTTAAGTAACTTCTTAGCTTCTACAGGTTGTAGAACATTTTGCTCTGCAAATTAGGTAGTTTTCACTTGTCTTCCGTTTAAGATTTGACTCTGAAGAATCAATAGTACTCTGGCTGGAGATGAAGGGAAAAAACGCTCATAGTTAGTAGTACCTCCTAGTGCTCTTTATATTCCAATTCGGTTGCTAAACTGTTAAACAAGAGTCCAATTGCTCTCAAATATTGCTACCAACAACAAAAAAAAAAAAATCTAAAGCCAATCTAGAAAACTGTTGACTAGTGAACATTACTTATATGCTATAAGTCATTAGAAGAAAAAGCATTTTTCCAAAAAATCTCACTAGCAAGAGACATTTCAGAGTCTTATCTATATCAAGTCATTATTTATCATTATTCTGAAATAACGCTTCMTCTTCATTCTCCTGATTTGGATGATCTATGAAAAGTATTTGTTTGTTATAGATTTTGAGAATACAGTGTCATCGTTTGACAGAACTTATTTTTAGTGCACCRCTGCTTTAGCAACAGTCTGTAAAAATAAACCAACTCTCACAGTTATCACCACAGACAAAGCCGTACATGAATTTGTTTTGGAGATGTGTGAATGTTTCCAGAGTGAATAAATCATGTGATCTTTGCTTAACATTTAATAGTGCTTGCTAACTGAAGTTAACAAAAAGAGTATTTCATGTTTTAAAAGCAAATATAAATAACTGCAACTAATTATCTATGACTTTAAATACTTAAATTTCTGAAGCAACCTTCTTTGTTGCTCCTTAACATTTGTGTCATCAATCTATTGATGCCTATTCTTTCAGTTATTTAATTTTTCTTTGTAGAAATAATCACTGTTGGAAATGTAATATTTCAGTTCCGCTTTTCTTCTCAGTTGATTYTTTAACTGATTAAATAAATAAAATTAAACTAAAAAGTTAAAACTTCTGACAAGTGCTGATATTGGTGAGCTTAAAGCCATTAAGCCATTTTACCATTCTTGGAAAGGATTTGTTTTTCCCCCTCTTCCTTTCTTCTGCAGAGATGTTGGCACTCCTCCTAGRTAGGGCTGTCTCAGTGCTTGTAAAGTTCACAAAAGCTAGTGAGATGGATGTTGGTAACCTGGTAATTCCTTTGGGTTTAAATGAGTCATCCAAATGTTAAATGAATCTGAAGAATTGGGAAAATCCCTACATGCTAATTATCTACCCTTGTCTTAGTGGGGACTCAGTGGTTCTGCTGTTCACATACAGAATTGTGTCCGTCAGAATTGGGTACAATTGGGGAGGCTGTAGCTTTGCCTTAAAACAAATTTTTATATAGGAATACTCAACTATTAGTGGCTATGTGCTCATGCCACCTTTGGTTTGAGTAGAGTGAGATTTCCGGAATATGAGGTTTGCAGACAGCACAAAGTGAATAAACTAAACATCTGATTGCTCTGGAGCTCAGATCACTTTAGGGATGTGTTAGAAGGCAGATTGCAGAACAGAACATCTCCCTCCTTTTTTTTTTTTTTTTTTTTTTTTAAGTGATCCTTTGTGTTTTATCCTTTGTCTTCTGTCTTCTATTTAGCTACTTATTTACCAGGGTGCCTTCCCCTGTATTTAATGATTTCAGGAGAGCTTAGCTAATTAAAGAACTCTTGATAAGGAATTCTGTCAAAAGATGTTTTTCAAAAGCAAAGTACATTATGTCAACAAAGTCATGCTTGTCTGTGTGCAGATTGACTCTTGACAGAACTCAGTAGTGTTGTTCCTCAAAAGTCAACTATGCCATGCATATTCTATTTATCTCTGTGTATTTTTATGTTCCCCTCCATTGCAGTATCTACTGTTGCTTTCTGTGGAAGTAAAACTCACTGAACAGAAGTACTGGGATCACTGAGAAATTCTTTGTAAAGTTTAATTGCTGCCACCTTTTCTGTTGGGCACTGGAGCTCATATGAGCAATGTTGTGGGTTTTTTTTTTTAATGCGTAGTTCAGCAATTTCACACTGTAAGTCTCCTTAGACATGAATTGCTTGGGTAGCTAGTAAAATTATCCGTACTACTTGAAAGCCTAGTTTTATAGCATAAGGTGATAAGGTTAAGAAAACTTTCCGAAGAAAAGGTTCTGAAAGAAAGGTTAGCAACAGTTTTGCTCTGCTGTCTGTCTGCTTTGAAAGGTCAGACCCTTTTCCAGGTTGGCTTATAGATTTGTAATCCCCATATGTACTTGGGACTTAACATAATTGAGATTCCTCTTCATATCCAACACCACTGGATATAAAATGTCAGAA